TTCATTTATTCCATAACTAATAACTCCCGGCATTCCCGAGATTCTTTTTGTGCTTTTTCAGGACACCTTTAGCGATGCAACCGTGAAATCTGGTAAAAAATGAAGACGAGATTTTGCCCTATAACTGAAAATTCTTGCAGGTGCCGGCTCATTTTCGTTCCAACTGGGCATCATATCAGGTGGAAGCTTTGGTGCTGCTCGTTTTGGCAATTTACATGCTGAATTATGCAGTGGGTCGTGCCAAGAATCAGAGCATTGCGAACAAATGGTTTATGGATGTTACGCCGCTTCTCGAGGAGCAGTTTACGCTTGTCGGAGACGATGGCACATCCGAGAATTGTCGAGAGGGCCATATGCATAAAGAAACAGACTCTGTCTACACGATCTGGTAAGAGTTCTAGCCGATTGTTTGTGAATACATGAATCTAAACCTATTGCTTTGACCAGTCGTTCTTTCCTCCTTATCTTCTCTTCGCCCCGTCCTTATTCCCACTAATCCCACAGTCACAGCGTTTCCCTTTCGTTCCTTCCCTTCTCCCTCTTTTCCTTTTCCAAGCACTGCAACCGTCATACTGAAGAGGTCCAGTCGCGGTATTAAGACGTGTACGATTTAATGGACCGGAATGTCTTATACTGTTCTTTCTGTCTTCTATCGTTCCTTCGCCAATTAGGCTTCGAAGACCAACCTCGATGCTACAGTCGGCTTATTATTTACGATCATTCCTGTCGTAGATACAGTAATACAGTAATAATACAGTAATCATGTCTGGATACAGTAATCATTTATGCCATAGATACAGTGGTATAGTAATCATACAGTAATCATGTCTAGATACAGTAATCATTTCTGTCATAGATACAGCATTCCCTATCTCGTGTTTGCTATATTCATATGATTCCCTAAAGGAATTCAAGCGAGCTTTTGCACGGCGCTGGCGACTCTCCTGTGTTATTTTAATTGCATGTTTATCACTCAGCAATTCCTTTTGTCCTTTTTTTATCAATTATTTTTGCCACACGGCTATCCGAACTCTTCTTTCCGGTTTGCATTGCATCGGCAGTATTCTTCATGATAGACTAGAATCGTAGTGTTTCCCTGGAGATGAGCTGCAGTCAGTTGCATTTAGTATGCATCATTGCATCACTGCTAATTTCTTGTTTACTTTCTGCTTAAATTTGCAAAAAATTATTTTTTCTAGTTTATTTGGCTGCATATTTTCTAAATTTGAACTTCATTTACTAAATTGAAGATCCTGGTGGTCAACATTTATAAGTTCTGGTTAATGTTAAAGATAAGCTGATTCTTGCATGGTTGTAGCATACGAGTAATATTAAGAACTTAAATAGGGCAGGAATAGAACGAACTGTGTATTGATGGATGTAGAAATATAGCTGGTGTAGGAAAAATAAGTACAAAAGAATTGAGAAGTTTCGGTCCATTAAGTCATATACGTCTTAGCTCAATTAATAACTGACTTGGTGGGGATTATTCACTTAGTAAAGTTTAATACCAGCTTACTGTTATTACTCATATCGATTTATGAATAGTAAACGATTTCGATGGTTTACGATACTTTCATTTTTTTTAGGTGCTCTGGTCGACTTGGCTGCCAGGGAATGTTAATTACGCTGAAACTGCGCAAGCGCCAAGATCTTATCAATGTTATCATGAATCTCGTCCGCCCTAAACAAGATAAGGTTGAGTAACATTTTCTCCTCAAAAATGTACCTTCACTACTACATCTGTTTTCTTTTCGAAGTCTATCCGACCGGTTTTCCCATTTCCACGTACGCAGTTTTTCCGTTGTGTGGCAACCAGAAAGTATATAATTCACTTATTCAGATTTACTCTAATGAAACGGATTATATTCAAAGAAAGTTGATTGCAGGTTGTTATCCGGATTAATGTGGATAGCAATGAAATGGACTCATTTGTTTTTGCGGTGGGACAACGCAAATCGGTGGTC